GTTCTCTAGGGATTTGTGTCCAAATGTTTGTACCTTTTGATTGTTGTGACGCATTGTTTCATTAAAATATTATTTGAGGTAGAAAAAAAGTTATTTCTAATTATAATTTTTTAATATATAAATTTGAATTGCAGAATGTATTTAAATTTAAAAGAATTTGTGAAGATTTTCTGAATCTACCCGGTGATAACAGGCCATGTGACATGGGAAGACGAGGAGAGATTCTAGAAGAAGGAGCCAATAATTCAATGTGCGGTATAATGGTCCAATCTCTTGAGTGACGGATATCCCACGTCTCTCTTTTAGGGTGCGTTTGAGTTTCAAATACTTAACATTTGAGATTCACTTTTTAAATTTCATACGTTAATTGTTATTTGGATTTTTTTATGTGAATAAACTAAATTTTTAAAAATAAATTAAAATGTGAATTTATCAACTCAACTTTTTAGTTAATTTAAAATTATAAATGAAAATTAGATTGTAGTTACTTTTTTTAAATGACTATAATATCCTTATTATGTTTTAATTTTTTTCTAATATTAAACTATATATTTTGGTCAAAAAAATATTAAACTATATATTTTTTATTCTATTATTTAACATATTAAGTTTTATGTTATTTTACATTTTTTAAAATTTTTAATATATTATATTTGTAAAAAAATTATCAATTATCATAAATTAATATCCTATTTGATCATTATATATTTAAAAATATATTTTAAAAGTACAAATTATTATTAATTAAAATAGTTTTTAATTTATTAAATTAAATTTTAAATAAATATATTCAAATATAAATTTTATTACATCAACTGATTATTAAATGAATTTTTATCAAATGAATTTTTAATAAACTAACAACCAAACACATTTAATCTTCGTCCATATCTGCTATGCGGTTCACTATTCATGAAGACTTGAATACTCTGGGACCTTCCCCATTCCACTCCACTGTACTTTCCCTTTTCCTTTTTTTTTTAATTTTTTTTACTATTTGGGTTTGTTTTAACTAATTGTTCATTATATTTATAATTCATTTTTAATTTAAATTAAAATATATTTTATTAAATTTTTAAAACTTTAATAAGTTTATGAATTTAAATTATTATAAATATATATATATATACTTTAATAGTTTGCTTTTTCAAAAGTTGTAATGAGAAATTAATACAAAACTTATACAAGTGGCAAAAAAAATTTTTTTTATTTTTTTTTTGCCTTTATATACAGGACCACATGGAGCATCTAACTTCTTTCTGAGTTCTTGGGTTTTTCTTCACACCAGTTTTCAATCTTGAAAATTTGGCGCATGATGGAGTATCATGCATTTAAGTTTTTTTTTTTTTTTTGGGTCCCATCCAAATGTTATGATAACATTCTGTAATTTTTTCCTCAAAAATTAATGAAGAACTTATAGAAGCAAATACAATCACGTGGCTTGTAGTATGGGGATGGAATAGAGCAAGCAAGACCAAAAGCGTAAGGCAGAAAGGCTTCCAAGTTTCAAAGGCTCGGTCGTTGGAAATTGGAATTAAGTATGTGAGTCAGTCATTGTTCTTCATGATGTACGCGTCCCATTTAAAGCCATCGTATTCATATGCCCTTCGCTTTCAATATAGAGGAGATTCATGGCGTGATGCGCGCGGGGAGTGATCCTGACGCCGCGACTGAGGCTTAGAGCTTTGTTGGGATCAGAAAGAACTTCAGTAAGATTGAATCATTCTCAGACTCTGCTGAAGCCATCAAACTAGAAATATCGTCTGGTGGTGACATTCGACTGTTTTCATTTGTTTTTTTTTTTTTGGTATGGAGATTATAATTAGAATGCCCATTTACTTTCTAAGTCAATATCTGAGAACTATTTCTTTTGTATTTGTTCATTAATCTCCACCTCTTCTGCATGAGGTGCTAAACGATGCGTGAAGGATTTGCTCCCCATTATTATTTTTTGTCGGTTTGATGTTTGTACTTGAATTATCTTGATTAATACAATTACTACATACTGTGTGTTTCCCTTTGGTTTGCACCTCAAGGAATAACCAACTTTGTCTCTCTTACTTTGGGGTACACAGAGACGCAAAGATCAAAGATCAGGTTAGCTATCAAACCAATGTTCAGTCCTTATGTATTGAGACTAAGATTGGGCCAATCTTATATAAAAAGATAGGGTTTTGGTCTTGTTTTGAAACAAAAAAACAAATCAAACAAACTAAAAAAAATAAAATAACAAATAATTTTTTTTATATTCCCTTGAAAATAATATTATGATCAAAAGTAATATTTTAAAATTTTAAAAACTCAATAGCATATATTGTTGTTACATAGTATTAAGTTAGGAAGTCAAATTAAAATTTTAAAGAAAAATAATATATTAACTTCTTAAAAGTTTTCATAATAATGACAAAGTAATTTACTTGGCATGATCTATGAAAAAAAAAATCATAAAATCAATTAGTACTAATAAAAATTTATAATAACATACACACTAGGTATGAGCTACGAAATTCTTTTTTTAAAGGCTCTTTTGTTGCACTCGCTTTATGTTCTTTAATGAAAGTTGTCTTTGTTTCAAAAACTACACAAACACAAACGGTTGGGTGCAACCCATCACCGAGACCAATCGGTCGATTTAAAGAGTAAAATTGGGCCTATCGGATCACCGAATTGGTTGGAAAACACTCCATGGAAACACAAAAAATTGGATTGAGGATTGGATTAAGTTGACCATGGAATTGAAAGCCCCCGTCTGGTTGACCATGGAATTGGATTAAGTTGAAATAAACACATAAAATTGCTCACCGCACTTCCAACACTGAATTGCAACCACATGGAGTGCCTGTTTGGACATGTTAGTGGGATCAAGTATATGGACCGAGCCTATAATTTTGGTAAAAGTCACCCAAACATCCATACTTTTTCATAATCAATTATGTTAACTTAAACCACGTTCTGGCTGAAGCTAATACTTCCCGATTTCAATTTTGCCTTTGCATGCATTTATTATTTGTCAGATAATTCACTTGCCAAATATAATTTAAGAATAGTGATGTCATTGAGGATAGAGGAGAAATTCATGGGCTTTGTTGATTTTTTCCCCCTAACAAGTTAGCCTTTGATCGAATCAGTCTAAGCTTATGTGATAAGTTTGAAGCTTGATTTGGCCTAAAACTTATATAATACTTTTCCATGGCTCAAGTTTAAATCCATTTAAAGTCTGGTCTGGCTTAAAAACTTATTTAAAAGTAAACCTTTTAAATAAACTCACATTTTATTTTCTAACATTTCAAATGTACTTTAGGACCATTAATATAAATATATAACATGATTTATTAATTATAATATATGATAATTAAAATGACTTACCAACTACAATATAATACAATAATAAAGTAATAACATTAAAATTGATATATAAGTCTAATTTAATTGAAAACATAACTAAAACTTAATAAATTAGATTGATTAAAAATCAAATGGTGAAACTAATATATGTTTGATATCTTATGTAATATATATATATATATATATATAGGTTGGTTTGTTAGGCTCGTAGATTAGGCTTTAAAAAATTAAGCCTAGCCTATTTAACTAAACAGGTTTAAACCTGAGTTGAGCCTATTTAATAAATAGGTAAGGCTGAGCTTGAAATAGGTTAGGGTGTAAGTCCTTGATAGGGGCTTAGCATATTCTCACCTTTACCAGCAAGGCTTTATTAATTCATTTTTCACATATACTAAATTATTAATATTATTATCTAATATAATGTAAATTTTTGTAATTAAGATATGTATTTTAAATTATATAAATATTAAATGGATTGCTATGATATATATTTATTTGTTAAATAGAGTTCATCAAATTTAATATTATATCGAAAAGCAATGTTCTTTATATTAATTTGTATATTTAAAATTAATTTTGACTCAATTATTCAAACATTTTTAATTTTATCAAATTAATTCTAAAAAATAACATCCAAACACAACCACATTATAACATAATTAATTATATTAATCAATCTTTTTTATAATAAATTTTATCCAACTAAAATCCAAACACAACCAGAAATGCTCCTATGGCTTCATGTTCAATAATCAATTCTCATGATTAGTCCCTTGCCATCCGTCCATTCTTGTCTCGAATCCTTCAGGCAGCCATTCCTGTGTCTCTTGTCCATCTTGTTTGCTTTTCACAATGAGCCGCCGGAAATGGTGGCCCGAAACTACAAGACCGTTGCCCATTTCTGTGAACTGAGATTCTGGCAAGTTTGATAGGGTTCCAAAGCATAAGTAGTGACTAGTGAGTAGTGACAGAGTAAAGTAGGCTATCTCCATGCCTGTCACTGGATGCTTCCTTTCCTCTGTCTTTTCGCCTATGTCACTCCTCTACGGAGAGAAAAGGGCCTATGTGCCGTGATTTCTCATTCCTAGTTACTTTTAAAATTTTAGAAAAATATCAATTCATTAGTTTCTGGATGGATGAAGGAATATGTTAAAAGGGATTTAGAATCACATAATGGAACTTGACCAGAAAACTTGGAGAATATTGGAGGGAAAGAGTTTCAGAACAGAAGCCATACACGTTAGGAAGGGAAGCAAATTAGGGTTTTACATAAAAAACACATAACATAATGCTCTTGTATAAATTAAAACAAGTCAAACTCTTTATATATAATGTTCTTTTAAACACAAACAAGAATAAAACAGAAATAAGAATAATGTCCCATGTAGACCGTCAAATTAAACTTTGGCTATGGTCTAGATCTTATTATTTTATTTTTTATATGTTTTTAAGTTAAAATACTTATTTTACTAGTTGATAGTTAAGATTGATATTATTTTGTATTCTGCATCATTTGAGGTAAAACAATTATTAAAATATACTTAAAAGAAAGAAGATCTGGACCATGCCAATACTATCTTAAATCTGAAGGGTCCTGATATCTGCAGTTATCAGCAGAAACATGCACGGGATCCAATGTCATGTTATGGAAGAGATAATGACCGAAAGAAAGGTATCACCTTGATTATCTTACAAAAATTTTCCAGTAATGCCGCTGTGTTTAATATTTACATAAACTAAACCATAAGACATAAAGCAAAGGCTAGACAAATATGACTTCAAACTTGGCACAAGGATTGGTTTCCAGGTGATTCCTAAAATCATCGTCCCCTTTAAAGCTGAAGGTATAAAGAGCTCGTCTCTGGGTCATGCCAAGAGGGTATATTCTGTAAATTTTCAATTCACTGCTTCCTCTTATGCTTTCAGGTCTCTCGGACCTCCAAATGGGTACATGATTCAGGGATGCAAACTTTGAAATAACTGCAGACTTCATGGCCTCCAGAGTGAAGTTGCCAGACCTGCCCATTGGTGTCAGTGATGAGTTCTTGCCATGTCATCTCATGATGTTCTTACTAATAAAACTAAACAGAAAGGAATAAGATATTGGAGGCGGCCTAAAACATCTCTATTTCCCGAGTAAACTGAAACCTGATTGAATGTAAGAAGGCCTAATGGCATTCTTTTTCTTTTTCTTTTTTTAATAAGTATCGCTGCAGCTCGTCTGCTTGTTAATTAGCAACCAGGAGACACTGTCAAGTCTGTCTGAGAGTCTTTGAAGTGCGGCATAACTGGTGGAAATTTAAAATAAAACATAGCTTGAAAAAATCAGAGCTGAAAAAGTAGCATACCTCAAGAAAATAGATTCCATGTCAAACCTTCCTCTTTCTCTCACATATACATGATACACAGTTTCTGAGCCTCTAGTGCAACTGCATGGGCGTTTCTTAAAGCCGGGGCTCTTTTCTTCCTTTTCTCTAATCGCAGAAGCCAAGTGAATGCAAAGGCGGCAAGATGAATGCACCACTGCCATATCCAAAAGTGCCTTGAAAGAATCAGATGGGCCCTCGTACTTCCACCTAATCAACATATATCAGCATGTGCCCAGATGGTGGTAATGAATTAGAGAAAGAAGAAAACGCAACGAGGCAACATTTTACAATCAGAGCCGACTTTAAACAGTCCATTTTTGCCACTAAATCCATTAGGACTCAGGGACAATGGCAATCATCCCTTGGGAAGAACAGCCAGTCACCAGCTAAGAAAACCTCTTCATTTTTCACAGCGTACAATTATAATTTACCTCAAATACTGAGCATATGCTTCAGGATTTTCTGCTAGCGTCTTCATGGACTTAGCCACTGACTCAACGTCTGTTAGCTTTTTTATATGTAAAATGGAACCAGGGGAAGGAGCAAAATCTTGAATATTTGGAGCGCCAACAACCACGGGGATGGATCCTGTTATAAAAGAGATATTAATTTCCAGCAGCAGCGCCAGAAGTGGGTTATGATGATATTTTAAGACGTGTAAAAAAAATTTATAAATCAATAACCCACAACACTCCATACATTTACAGCAGATTGCATTTTTCTCTTTTATAGACTAGAGATAGGTAAATGGCATATTATTCTGTATCAGAATTAGATGTATGATAGTAATCAGTACCACACACTCCCATGTCTTTTCAGTGATTTTGAAAGATCTTTCATACATGCATAGTATCAATGCCATTAGTTTCAATTAATTTATAGCAATTGACTCAAAATACTGAGCAAGGTGATTTGTTGAGTTATTAACAAGATTGTGCATTAAATTAAAAAAAAAAAAGAAATTGTCCAATTAAACTGCCAAAGTAGATAATTTTGGCAATTGATGGAAATAATTGGGCCACACGACAGCGGGAAACAAGGAATGCAATGGCCATATTAGTTCTTAGACTCTTTAGGTTTTAGCCTTTCCCCCCTTCTAGAAATTGCAATATAAAGAAGGAAAGATAATCAGTTTCCATACCAGCAACCAGGGATTGAAAGAATTTTTCAGTCACGTAATCCTCCACATTGGAATTTTCAAATGCTAAGCTAAATTTGTAGCGCTTCAGAGCTTCCACTTTGTCCACTGTGAAAAGATAAAATAATAATCATGAACAGTAGTATCTCAGCATAGTGTGGGTGTTGAATCTGTGCTCAGTCTGCATAAAAACAACTCTATGCACATTCTCGAGCCCATTCAGGCTTAGCCTATAGTCTTTTAATGTCTAAAATTTATGCAATAACTTGCCTGTCTCATATTTTCAAAGAACCTATCCAGAAGATCATCAATTAACAAAGTAAAATTTCGTATCAAATCTGGAATAATTAGAGTCATCGTCTAAAAAGTAGGAGGGACTAAGGGTGTATTCAAATTTGAGAAACACTTGACAGGGTCAGCACGGAAAAACATATAGCATTTGTTATGTTAAGAAGATTATTGTTTATCAAAAGAGGTACCAAAAGATACTAAAAAGCATCTATGCTTTAATCAATAAAAACGCAATATACCTCTTTCATCACGGTTCCTATGGCAACCACCATAAGAATCAATCTTGACGTTCAACTTTTCAAGTGCCTCAAGGGCTTGCAGCCGAAAATTTGGAGCACCACAATTGGAAATAAATGCTGCTGCAAGAGCACTCTCAGTTTTTGGCTGTACTGGCGCCATGATGTCATACTCAGCCCAGGAAAAATACCCAACTGGAACATCAGATGACAGACTGGTTGTCATTACAACGTCATATCCCTTCCTAGTACACAAGGACACTAATATTAGTTTTGACATGAACAAATTTTACTCTATTTATTTATTTATTATTTTTTGGGGAGACAAATTTTATTTTTTAGGAAATACACTCTTAGCATTAGTTGAAATGAAAAATAGTTAGTAACCAGATAGAAGGACCCCATGCTTTGCATGGAAATTAAGGTCACAATGTTTATGACTTACAAATAATGGAACTTTTTACAAATTTTATTTAATATATAGTGAAGTCTCTATGGCATTGGTCTCATCAGCTAGGTTGAATTTACACTATAAAGTCCACTGTGCCAGGGCAAACAAGGGAAACCTTTGACAATACCACACTTTTCCAAGGAACGATGACACAACCCCCCCCCCCCAAACATGAAATCATCAAATGAAGCAACATGTATGGGCAATGATTGGTCCAATCTAACAAATTATTGATTTATCATAGTGCTTACCCACCGTCGTGCCACTGCAATATCATTCTCTTGAAAATATATAGTTGATTCCATTGATCGTCGAATATGAGCCATTCCATCTTGTCTGGGAGAACCAAATGAAGCATCAGGGGCCCTGCCTTCATCTGAACCGAACTTGCATCCCAAAGAACATGATATCTCCTCCTGAATTTGGATGGCACAAAAACTTTAGGCAAAAAATTAACAGTAGAGAAGAACGCATAGAGGATCACTTGACAATTACTCAGTCAGCACCAGACAAACATCATAGGTACTATACCTTAACAAACATTTATCAACAATTATTCAAATTGAAATAAAAGGATCTGGCATAAACATATAACAAGGCCTCGAATCTGCAAAAATTACTCGTACAATCTTAAAAACCAAAGTCACGGCTGTCAAGTGGATGGAATCATCTCTAGAGCGACCAACTGCTACACGGTTCTAGTCCCTAAACTTATTCCAATCCAAAATTCTCTAGTTAGGTGGACAAGACAAATAATGAGAATGTAATAAGAAAAATTATTCACTGGCCATCCTGTCTCACGTATTATACTTTAATAATTTTTTTTTTTTACCTGTCAACACTAGTCCAATTATAAACTAAAGATCAGCTCTGAATCAAAGATAACATGTCATATTCAGCTCCACTTCCTTATAATGTTAGTAGCTTCCAATTTACAATGACCTCTAAGTAATCAGGGACTTGTAATCCGTCGCTTGCCCATTCATAAAAAAGCTCGCATGACATAAGAAGAGCGGAAATCCCGAGTTATAGTGCATTATCCAGATAAAAGTGGTGTTTGGGCAAAAATAATTAGTCTGACTCGTCAATTGGCAATAGCTAGCCTTTCTTCCAAAAGAAAAAGAGAGAACATTGATAGATATTCTGAGAGAGAGAGAGAGAGAGAGAGAGAGAGAGAGAATGAACAAAACCTGCATAGCTCCAACAACCAAAATAGGGTCTGTTGTAAAATTCCTTGAATATGTCACAGCATCCTCCCTCTCCAACCATTTCTCACAGCTCTCATATTCTGAATTACTTTTTTTCTGATAGAGATATTCTGAATTACTATCTCCACCCAATGTAGCAAACCCCAAATTATCGAACGTGGCTTCTTCACGAGACCCGTAGAAGAAGTCAGCGACGGTATCGACCATAGCAGCGTTCTTCGCCAAATCAAGCCTAGTCAAGAAGGCGATCTCTGCAATGACCACGAAAATTGCAAACAGAGGCATCAAATTACCCCATTTCCTCCTCGGAACCGCTAGTGTCGAAACAGGTAAGCCTTCATGGATCGCCTCCGTTCTCGAGCCTCTAGAATTCGTCACGAGACCCATCATTCTCATATATTTTCCCCTCCAAATTCCAACCTACAACCGGGAGAGAGAAAAACAAATTATGGGGAAACAAAAGCCAGAGGGAATTGAAATAGGTATCATGATACTTTTAGCTCCGAACAAGCATCAAATGACAATGAACTAATTAGAAATAAAAAAGTACAAAAGAAGAAGAAGAAGAAGAAGAGGCCGAGAAAAAAGGGTGTAAACTCTATCGTAAAAAAATTCTGCAACCTCATGCGTGATCTTCGCAGTGGAAAATTTGAGATTCGTCTTACCTTGGTCATTGTATTCGACTCACAAGGTCTACTTCCATTGCTAATGAATCTACCCCCGGGGGTGGTTATGATTGGTAGTTTTCATCGCTCCAATTAATTGAGGAGATTAATTAGAAATTCTAGCACACATGACAGAAAAATTAAAGCCAGTCCCACTCCAGGCTACAGGGGATAGCCCCCGACTTTGTCCTGAATTGGAAGGAAATTACAAATGGAGGCTGGGACTGAATTCTTTTATCTATGATTTCTTTATTACAAAAAAATAACTTATAAAAAGGATGACAACAAAGTTTGAGTTTGAGAAGAGAGAATTAATAACAATTAAGTTTCTGTAAATTTTGTTAAAAGTTAAATTGCAAGAATTCTAAATATTATTATTCTTATATTTATCATTTAAATATTTTACTTGTAATTAAAATTTTTAAATTTATAATTATTTAAATTAATATTTATAATTTATTTTTTAAAATTTTTATCAGAGTCATTAATTGAAGACTTAATTTTCATTCTCCCTAATTCATGAGTTAACATCATTTGATGATTAAATTTATTAATAGGTTATTATTCTTTGACAATATCAAATCTAATAATTTATTCAATCGCCTACAAAGCTTCGTTGGGCCCTATTGATGAGAAATGCATGAAACGGAATAATTTTTTGGAAAGCTCCAATCCATGAAACTGACTAACTAACGATCTTGTCGTGTCTTCGTTCATTGGCATTTTTTCATAGCACCTCTGTTCAGTTCAGACCTTTGGATATCTTACGGATTGCATCTAACTTTACTCGTAATGGAGGATTCGCACGCCTCTGCATCAAACTTTCAAGGATCGAATAAGTTATAATATTCTCCTATCCAGAAACTTCAGCGTTGCTGTCATAATGAAATTATGATGATTCTTCTGATTCTAATCATTTTATTTACATGGAATTATAACTAAAAGTTAGATGTGAGACTTATATGGATATGAAAAATATAAGTCATATTCATAAATTGTGGAGTCTCAAAAAAAAAAAAAAACATGTTCAAATTATTTATGAATATTACTTAATGTAAATTCTATATTTCATGTTAATAATATAGAGAAACCTGGGTACGCGGGCTTGCCCATCCCTGAATGCAGATGATCGTGATTCAAGGTGATGCGCATGACAGCCCGGGGTGATGGATTTTACGAGATAGGCTCAAAAGTTTTCAATGCTTGGTGAACTCAGTTTCACCGCACCACACAAATAAAGGAGTTAGAAAAAACTGAATAAGAAAAGGAGAAGCCACGCTAGAACCTAAAAGAATTATTCCATGACTGCGCGCAAATAAACTAGAAGATTTTAAAATCATAACTGCATAAGTAGAATCACTTTGAAATATGCACAGTGAAAGCAAATCATACTTTTGCCTAAGCTGCATCTTGTCAATACAACTTAAAGAAAGGACATACTACATTTGTATATCTTCTCAATCTATTAGAACAAGAAAAATTTAAATGGTGTTTAAATTTCTTGAGAGATCAATCTCATGACTAACAACTATGGAAATACTTTAGACCAGAAAAAAATGGAGGGAAGTTCACTTAAGAAATGTCAACCTTGGATAGTTAAGTGCCTACTTTCACCAAAAAATAATGCAAACAATATATATATATATATATATATATAATTTTTTACACGACATCTATTCGTGTGGCCATCATTAATTTCTTCCTAGAACTCCATCATATGAAACATCTTTAGATATCCCAAGTACCAATGCCAAACCCTATTGTATCTCATAATCCTCTGTCCCTCAGTTGCCTTGCATAAGCCCCTAAATATATTCTCAAATGCGCCAATCGGAATTTTCCCTTTACATTAGCATCTGCTGTGAAATATCCGGCTTCAATTCTGAGTTATAACTAATTAACTTCCTCTTAGAAATGGATGCCGAACAGAATTTGCGTCATGGAAGCTCTCTGGGAGTTCTGACAGCAATTCATCTTGTCCTTCATTTTCTGATAATGGATTAATATTAGACGAGACATCAGTCCTGTGAAAGTTTCCAGAAGGCACAACCTGCACCCCAGAAGGGATTTGCAAAATGTAAGAAAAGACTTTTGCAGGTTTCAGTGAGATTCTTACCGAACAAAGAACAAATTCCACATATTACTTGATCATTGCTTGAAGCACCAGCAGTAGCTGTCTTCAACCTTTTCGTCATAGGCATACAGCTCGAAGTTGCTCCTTGGTCTTCATTCTTGAAATTTTGATCAGTTGCCTCTGCCAAGTGTTGAAAGTAAATTGTAATGGCTACAAAAATAATAAAACAGATCTAAGCACCCTCAGCTGCATTTCTTTTAGGGGGAAAAATCTTAATTGTATACAATGCTCCATTGGACTGGCATGGGGTAGAAAAGTCCGCAAAAATGGAATTAACAGGTAATAGCATTATATGATTTTCTTTCCTTGATATCCTCTCACTCAACATTTAAAGTGAAGAATGTTTAATGCACACTCTAAATCTTTTGTATGCATTATTTCAAGATTAGTATAAAGCATAATGAGAAAATATTACTCCTCTAGTTCTATTTATAAGTTATTTCTAACATGTTTCAGTAAAATTAAAAAAAAAAAAACTTAAGACTCATTAATCTTGTCTAAAAAATTAGTAAATTCTCAACTTTACTCCTATTAAATATCAGTACTTTAACAACACATTTTCTCCCTCCAACATTCAATGAACCAAAAAAAGGAAAGTTTGTTATGAAAATCTAATGATCTGACTTATAAATAAAAAAAAAAAAAAAAATCTTCTTTCTTTGCCTTGTAAATAGGACCAAAGGGAGCATCCCATTTCCTTAATAACCACTAAAATTATGGCAAAAGCCCCTACTTAATGCATATTCAGAGACCGTACAGGCATTATTTTACAAAGTGATGCCTTCATAGCAATTGATATACTGTGCAGCACAACTGACCAGTGACCACCATTTGATCTGTCCAAGTGTGATCTAAGTTTTAGTTTAGATAATGATGTACTTCTACTAGAAAGGCATACAACAGCAATCCATCAGCAGACCATATTCAAATCATGCTGCACAACTGACCACCATTTGTTCTGTCCAAGTGTGATGTAAGTTCTAGTTTAGATAATGATGTGCTTCTATTAGAAAGGCATACAACAGCAATCCATCAGTAGACCATATCCAAATCATGCTGGACTCATTCCATGCAGAACACGTACACTGTATGAACCAGTAGTTCATAAAAAGTGGCTTAGCATAATTACCAGATGAGACTTCACAGAATCAGGAATTGCAGTTTTGTAAAATCATTGCAACTTCATAAAAAGCATTCACATTAAATTTTGCACACTGCACACTGTTTACAGCATCCATGTAGCAGATTGGGCCTAAACCACACGTCACAGATATCCAACTGTCAAACTATAAAAAGTAACTCACACTGTCAATACATATAACACGAAATCCTACGAATCTGTTATGATTTTTTTTTTTTCATAAAGTGATTCTACTGATCACTCTCATAACAAAATCAGTCTCGCCACCCCTGGTAATTTGGTATATATATATATATATCAGTAAGGATCAAAAGGTATGTTTCACCACCTGTCCGTACACATTCTCACATTTTTATACAATGAAACATCACCCTTGCAATAATAGTATTCAAAATTACATCCTAAAAATTATGATTTACTAAAATTTTGACACTGAAATCTTAGAATCCGTTACAGTACATGTAAGCATAGGCTTAAAATTAGCATAAAAAAAATCAAGGTTTACAAAGTAATATAAGGTAAAATTAATCGCATGGTTGTTAATACCAGCAACATAAATCGATGCAAAAGTAATGAGAGGTTTGTTAAATTTCAATTCATAGTCATTTCCTTCTGGAAAGAACACTTTCTTCACTAACTTCAGTGCAGGACATAAGAACACAAGGTTATTATCCAGGGAAAACATGCTTTGTTGCAAGAGTTGTAAACCACATATATCAACAGAAGCCTTTACTTTTGTTTATCTGTCTGAGCTATAACATGAATAAGAGCAATTAAACTTTCAACGACAAGTACAATCTAAAATTTCAGTATGGTTCACGCTTGATATGCAGCTTCCTCTAGGCCAGAGCTCAGGCCACTGACTAATATAGCCTCATAGAACTGAGGAAACCCTACTCATTTTAAATCTTCCTATGTTTGGGAAGGAAACTTAGGTCAGTGCCATGTGATCTGGCTGCAACAACTAGAAACATGCCCTACAAGTTTGGCACTAATTCATCCAGAAGTTTAAAGCAGTTTGACAGTTTGATAACACTGAGAATTTGCGCATGTGGTCTGTGAAATTACGTGAATGTCTTTGAGGGTTAAAAAAGATACCATCAACTTGAATGTGACTATTACAAGCAGAATAAGGGCCAGGAAAAGAAGGTGACAGAAAAATAATGCCTAAACAACAAAGTAAGTAACATGCATGATGCTAGTATCACTTTAGATTTACCTGCAGGACAGCCAACTGATTCTCGATGGCATGACTTCTCTATGATTCTTGGTGACCACCTGGAAAATTTTGAAATACCTCTAACACAATTCTCCTCATCACAAAGCATGCCATAGTCATAAACATCAGATTCTCTCGTAATGCATCCTCTTGCTACTGGTGCAAGTATTGATGAACTTCCTGCAAGAACATGAGAATCAGCTGTGCTCTCTAGCATGGGTTCATTTCTTTCAACACAGATCTTCTTCCAGCAACAATCTTGCATAACCGGAAACTGAAAACAACAAAAAAAAAATGATAAGGCATGATTGTGCAGGGAAAACCTTAAATTACAAGACATACTCACACGATACAGATGCTATTTGAAATTGATCTCTGACCTGCTTGGTCATATTCTGTGAGTTTTGCAAATTTTTTGACTTAAAAGCTTCCTTCGAGTCACGTCGTAAGCTCCAACCACGTAATTGTATGGATTGGTGCAATTCATTCACAAATGAAGCTTCTAAAGAATTAAGATATAAACGGTGCTGATGATCTGTCCATTTTGTTAACTGGTCAATCTGCAAAGTTGTCAGATTAACAAGAACTCAGAATTTCCTTGACCATTATAAAGAAAGTGAATAGAAGAGCGTCATCATCAGAATATCACAAATAAACACCCCTCCCACCATGAAATATACTTTATAAACGTCCCTTTCAAAATCTACAATATATATTGAGAATAAAAAAATTACACTTAATATAGAAATAACATCCCGAAAAAGTTTTGTCAAGGAAGATGATTTTAAAAGAGAGACTAGTAAGGGGTGCTATGTGAAAACCCTCAATCCTCTCCAACCATTGCAAGTCCTCACATTCCCTCATGGAAATTATTTGGCATTGCCCCTCCTTTTACAGTGTTGACTGGCTCTTATAGCATCTGAAAGAACAGCTTTCTCCTTTCTACTTTCGAAGATCAAATGGACACAAGTATAATTACACACATGGCTGTTTACTAAAACCAAATTTTAAAAAAGAATTGTCATTACCCAAATGGACATCTTACAGATCCTGTTTTAACCTTGCAAGTAAGTACATGTTCCTCCTCTAATTGGAAACTCAAATAGGATTTGATTTCTAGCATTAGAACTTCTGAAGGAATCAATATTTCTTCCACTATGCTTTCAAAAAGTCCTCTGATTATTTTTTTTCCAGCAATCCTAATGATTTTAACCACCAAGATGGGAATAGATATAAATTTATAAGATTTAAGATTGCTAGCATACACCAAAGTCACACCAACTTCAAACAATATGAAATCCTGTCGTTTAAGCAGTAGAAGCAAAACCTCAAGCATAAGCAAAGAAAATACCAGAAAAAGATTTTCAAGTAACTCCTAAGTGAGTTTACCAAGTTTCAATTAGATATTCCAGTAACTATACACTGTGTTTCAAAAAATAATATCATACAAAATATCCTGTTTCATGAGAACCACGGAGATGATTAATTCTCCAACACACAGAATAATAACAAATAATCAAGGACAGAGCATAAAGAAAGTAAGAGTATACAGAATCTGCTATAAACAAATAAGTTGCTAAATAAAAGACAAAAGAACATTTAGTAAGTCTGAAAATGTGATGTTGATCAGAGGACCTCGAGCTCAATGGTCAACCCTTGACGAGGTGAACGAGGTCGTTCTGTTCCCGAAGGACTGTAGAAACAAAACATGGTTACAGCCATTATAATATTCATTTTTCAAGATGATTTCAGTTTCTTCGCCATCCTCACCTCATTAAATTTATCTTTTCAAATATTTATAAACTTTAAATCTTCTCGACTCATTTATTGCTCAATTTACTGAAGAGTGATGGAAAACTAGCTTGATACATGTCATGAGTAAATTAAAACAAGCCACTGAATGCCATGCAAAGCACAGATGTCTGATTGAATACTTGAAACAAAATTTATTCTCTAAAATAACCTAAAATGTAGATTCCAAATAGCTATTCATAGTCGTAGACATATTTTCAGCCAGCTAACCCAACACACTCCAGGATCAACCTTCTGAATTTCAATTTTCGTCCAAAAACACAACCGGATATTTTTTACAGAAAACAAAAAATTGGAATTGGAAATTTTATGACGTGCGGAGTATTCTAAAACGAGAAAAAATAGTAAAACTTAAATTACCGGAAACGGTGCCGCGCACTGAGGCGAGGAAGTTTTGGAAGCATCTAGCGTGATGGCGGATGAATCCGAGTTCATCCGAGTCAACTCGGTTCCACAGCTGTCGAACGGCTCTGGATCTGATAGCGGCGAGTGAACATTCTGAAGGACTTCCTCCTCCATTTGAAGTGATCCAACCAAAAACGCGGAGATTGCGTGAGAATTCAGAGAGAAAATGGTGCTTGAATTGTAGGAAAGAAACCCTCCGGGTTGTTCTGAGCAGGGCAGCGAAGGATGAGAGAGAAAGGGGGGAGGAAAAGGCCGGGGTGCCTTTTGGGACCAAAAAGACTCCACATGGCGTCGCTTTTACACGTGTCTGCGGCATCATCAGGTTGCCACGTCATCAGCGTGATAATATCTTGGGCTAATGTCAGCCAGATATTTTTGAGAGTCATGGGGGGTGGTTGGCCGCTTTCGGGACGACGATATTTTGGGGAGAGTCAGAATGGAATGGTATTAAATATATCCGGAAACTGAGAGTGAATGCCATGCGCGGTTTTTGGCGCGTGTAACTCGTGGGCAGCTTCCCTCCTTTGGAGAGTCTCCTTCACTCAATAAGCTTAACCTAAATCTAAATAAAAAAAAGAAAACGATAATAAAAGTTATTTAAATTATATAAATAATATTTTAATTTTTTAAAATATCATAATTTTTTAAATTTTTTTAAAAAAATTTTGTCATTAAAAAATTAATGTAAATAATTAAATTATTCTTAATTTAAATTTATAAATTGTTGTTGAATTTTTACAATTTTAATAAAAAATTATGAATCTTAAAATAAAATTTGTAAATAAAAATTGATATTTATAACATTTAAAAAATATTAAAATTTTAATGTGAACTTGCAAACTATTGAATTCTTGCAATTTTAAAAAAAATTATAAATAAAAGAACAAAACTCGTAAATAATAGTTGATATTTAAATTAAATATAATTTAATTATTTATATTAATTTCTTAATTCTTAATGATAAAAAAGTTTTTAAATATTTTTTAAAAATTATAATATTTTAAGAGATCAAAATATCATTTATATAATTTAAAAAAGTTTTATTGTCATTTTTTCAAATTCAAATCTAAATACAAAGGTAATTCTTTATTATTTTATGCTTTTTTTATTGATTTATTTTATGCTTTTTATTAAAGCATAGTATAATAATTTCATTTCACTAAAAAAAGCAACATAATCATTCACACTCAATTTATAGTCATTACGTTGTTATTAAAAATTATACACGTTTGTTTGTGAATATTTAACATAAATAAATTGGTTAGCCAAAATTAGAAAAAAATTCTATGTAGGTATTAATATTGAGTTATGTATTTACTGTACTTTTAAAAATTTATGACAAAACAATACGAATCTAAAGAAAATTTCTTACTTTTGACGTATTTCTTTACTAATGGGATTGAAAGGAATCTCTCCATTGATAAACGAGCTTTTTTTATTTTTTTGGCACAAGTCCCTTTCTACAAATCATAACTTGTTTTTGTATTAGTGTGAATATTGTTTATTATAATTAATAATTTCTCATTTTTTTGTCACCTCATATCTTTATCACTGCACAACCGGATGTGGATCATGTGCAGTGCTAATGGTAAAATAGATGAAAAGTGAGTTCATCTTATCCACTCATTTTATTTAATGGTTGAGAAGAAAATGGTACACAGAAAGCTTTATTATCAACAAAACACTCAAAATTTGTTCTAATAAAAAATTATTTCACAATTTAAATTCTAAAAATTTATTAAAAAAATTAATTCATTATATTTTAAATATTCTGAAAAAATTGTTCCTATTCTACCAAATGAAATTGGAAATCGTTCCTCTACAAGTGTCTCTTCCTTAATGTTTTGTATATATTTACTTTTAACTTTTATTAATAATATTGACTATTTTTCCCCAAAAAAAATCCTTTTTTTAACATAAAAATCTTACTTATCAATTTAAATTTTAAAAAATTATAAAAAAATTAATTTAAATATTTTGCAAAGATCGTACCTATACTATCTAATGAATTTTTTAAAACAATGAAAAAAATTAATTTATAGTTTAAATCTTAAAAATTATGAAAAATGTTAAAATATAATAAATTAAATTTTTTAATAATTTTTGAGAATTTAAATTGTGAAGTAATTTTTTATTATAGGAAAAGTTTGAGTATTTTGCAAATGATAAAGCTTTCTATGCACTCTTTTCTTTTCAACTATTGGATAAAATTAATAGATAGGATGAGCCTACTTCCCATTTATTTTATTATTGACATTGCACATGATTTGCATCTTTATACAACTTATTCAATAAGTTATTTCTAACATGTTTTACTAATATTAAAAAAAATTTTAAAATTCATTAACTCTATTTTAAAAGTTAATAAGTTTTCAACTTTATAATTATTAAATATAAGTACTTTAATAATATATTTTCTCTTTTTAATATTCAATAAAGGGTAAAATAAAAAATTTATGATAAAAATTTAATGACATAACTTATAAATAAGATTAAATAAATTCTTCTCTCTCTGTCTTATGAATAGAATAAGAGGGAGTATATAACTTTCAAGAAGTTTTTCATCATGGTATATGTTATATTATATTTTAAAAATGATGTAAAATGCAATTTAAATGTAAAATATAAACAAAAACTCCAACCTATTCAGCTACATTTCATCCCAACTCACATTGGAACCTCGATGGATGCTTTGGGCCGGGAGAAAACGAAAATCAATGTCAAACTAGTAGGTAAATGGAAACAAAAACAAAAAAAAAAATTGAAATAAAATATATGTTCCTGGAAAAAGGACATCAAGGAAAACAAAAAATCGGATAAGAGGTGCACAAATAATATCAAAATACCAACAAGAAGTTTAGTTTGGCAAAATGGATTACCCTCTCAAAATAATTAAGATTTAAATTTTTGTTAGAAGTACCCACATTTATGTGTCCCAGTGAGTTTAACATGGTTAGGGTAACATGAGAGTAATTTTGTTTTGAAAGGCGTAGAATCAACTAATCCAACAATAAAATAAACAGTGGTTCGTTATCAGTTTCACTACCTGTGTCAGTGGTGTTTTCTGTGGGCGCGCAGGTAGATGGTTGCTGCCGAGCCAAACAAGCAACGGCATGGCCCCATTGCCTCAACTTCGTCTTCTTCACATCCACACCATCGCCTATGCCAAAAATTCAATCGTTAGAAAATGACCCAAAAATTGCCCCCTTTCATATCCTAGGACTGGTATGAATTGAAAATCATTTAAAAAATATGTATCATGCTGAAATCGATTTAATCCAAATAAACGGATTCTTTTCCGCCTGACGATTTAATGGATTCAAATTAACCCAAGTCAAACAAAATCAATTCACAATTAGTTTTTGTCTCATAATCCATTTGTTGACAAATACTATCAAACTAAATCAGTGATAAGGTATTTTGTAACTATATATGATTGAAAAATACGTTAAATCAATGATCAATAGTAATATAATATCACTTTCTTAACATTTTTAAAATGATGTATTCTTAAAATCAAATAATTGCCGTCAAACTACGTTTAAAAAAATCCTCAAAATGAAATTTCTAATAAAACAAAATCACTTAAAGAGGAAGATATAAACTGACATAATATCCTAATATTCAAAATCAAATCAAAATAGATCAATATTTTGGCGGCATGATTTCGGTTGTTTCCGGAATGACGAACTAATCAACAATTAAATTTGATAAAAATGGCTTGTGCGATGTTTGCCAAAGACTTGCGATATTACCTGAATCAAACAGGGTGACGGAGGGTGCAGTATCGCTATCGCATTCTAAGGCCGTGGACGATGAAGACGACGACGATCTCGATAACTCGCACTTATGCTGCTAATGGTAGAACTCCAGAGCTGGAATCGTATCCCGCAGTTTTGGTTTGATCTTCAGCAAATCAAAGCCGAATCCGAGCTCGAAGCAAGTTCTGAGTTCTTCTAAATCATCAACGGAAAGGCTTCGGTTGAGGCGGGAGCCACGGCAGCGGGCGGCGATGTGATCGGTTTTTCGCCTCTCCCATGCCGCTTCACGAACTGATTCCAGCGACCAGGAACGATGCCTATAGAGTGGATGCCGCGGAACAGACGCGTGAGGCGGTTTTGGCATGATTGAACGACGTGCCTTTTGGAGATTGAATGAGAGATATTCGAAAAAGAAGTTGGACTTTGGATTTGAGGGTGCAGAAGATGATCTTGGGGGTTAAATAGTTTATTATACCAGCAGGTTTGATTTCTCAGTGATAATTACTTCGTTTTCGAAAAATGGCCCGATTATTGTATTATCAATATGCTATAATAATAAACTAGAATTGATTCACCGTATACTTATTTTCGTTCACTTTTTTAGATTATCTTAAATATTTTTTAATATGAAATAGCAATATATACATGTCAAACATTAAATCTGGGATATATATATTTTTTAAAAGAATCTGAATGTTTATATTTATCAAATAGATATATGTTTTTTGGGAGAAATATATGTTTACATATAAAATATTTTAACCTCTATCTTGATCTTTAAAATTTTAAAACATATAATTTAGTTATCAAGATGTATACGTCTCTTTTATTTAGTTTACAGTATAAGAACTACAGTATAATTATGGTTTATTCATTAAAGAAAGATAAAGATTAATATATTATATTTTTTAAATTTAAACAGTCTTATATATATAGTAATCTGATAAGAGTATTCTAATCCTCATTAGATGTAATGGGAGAATACCATTATCCGCCCAGTAGCAATATGTCTATGTTTTGTTTAGGTCTGGTTGAGATGTGTATTTAGTTTCCCACATCAGCGCTGCGCACTCATTTAGGAGTTAAGTTCCATTGAGATGGTCACTGGTCAATGAGCGCTATAGTTCCAATGGCATGATTTTTCCCTTAATACAAAGATTTTTAAGATAAATTCTCAAATAGTTTTTTGGAAAAAAAAATCTCAAATAGTACAAAAAGGAATTTTAAAAAAAATACTTACGGGTGGTTCCCATATTAAAATTATACTTACAATTAACGTTAAATTAATATTTGTTAATGCCAATTTTATATACAAAATATTATCAAAAATAAAAAATAATTTTAAACATTTTAAAACTAAAATTTTAATAATATACTGATCTGATATTATTTCGCTTGAATTAATCGTTGCAAATTCCTCACTGATGGCAGCATACTTATGGAAACAAATCATCTGCTGGTGACTGGTGTCTATTACCAAGGGGGGAAAAAATCCTCTCCAGATGTCATCCAT